GGTGCCCTGTGATGCACAAATTCCACAGGCTACACAAGCTGTGCCTGCTGTGCTTCTGCCAACTCCATGTCCACACAGAAAGTGGAATTCAAAGATAAGATTAATTTGGTGTAAAAACATTTCAAAACTCATGTAGATTCTGGACCTTCATAAACTTCACAAGAATATATATTATGAAAAACATGCACGTATTTCAATTTTATATCAAAATAGACATCTTCTAAAAGCCCCTGTTTATGCATTGGAGAGTCAACGAGAGGGGTGCCCCACTTCTTGGCTCACTCCTGCAGACTATGATGGGTGAGGCAGGCACTCGGTCCAGGCTGCCCGCCCCCATGGGTGGTAAACACTGCCGTGACACAGAGCTGGGAAGTGAAGCCGAGTACCCAAAGTGGGGTAGAGTGGCTTCACCCTGCTATCAAATGCCGGCCTACACTCCCGCTTTCAGCAGATTATTTTCACACCCCACGGAAGATGGTTTTTATAGATGTAGGGAAGGGCCTTACGTCTATCCTTTGAAGACTTCTCTGGCCAAACCAACGCCGTCTTCTTGAGGGGCAGTTCCTCATCTCCACCCCGATGTCTCCCCCCAGCGCCCTCCATGCCTCCACTCTCATGACTGTCTCATTCACACAGCCAGCAATGGCAGAGGGAGCTATTCCGCCTGGGCTGGGGGTGCAGAGGGCCTGCGTCTTCAGGCCTGTGGTGGCCACATCGGCGGCAGCATGCGCACTTTTCTTGTCACTATCCCCTACACAACCAGTAGGACAACTAGCTCAATAGTGTTGACATTGTACCAGCTTTTGAAGATGACGTGGAGCTGACCGGCAGGACACAGACGCTGCATCATTCCCCATGAGGGTGGAAGCACCCACAGACCTTGGTATGCGAGGCGTCTTGGAATCAGGCCCTCACTAGTGGACCCTGAGTGACGGCTGCACTTGCCCCACAGCGCAGTTTACCATCAAGGTCAACATCAGATACACCAACACAAGAACTTGTTCTGTTCTCAAGACAGCTCTGCTAAAAAGCTCCAAGCACTTTCTCTCCAGCTGAGCCAAAACCACTCAAAACAGAGCATGGAGACGCAGGCTCTCCATCGGGGGCAAGCGCTCCGGGCCCCAGGAGACAGAGGTGTTCTGACATGAAGGTGAACTGAGAAGGAGGCATACGCCCTCGCCCCCTGCCCGCGCAGCAGGCCTGCCTCCCTCCATGCAATGACCACTGACTGCCCAGTGACCTGTGACCAGTTGTCCACACAGTGAGCAGGCAGGGCACCTGACTAGGCTGTCCACAGAATAGCGTGTGACCAGTGATGGCGTGTGTCATGGCGATGACACGCAATCATGCTTTGCTCCAGACAGGAAACACCTGTGTTCCGACAGAACATGAACTTCAACGTGCTCCATCTGCCCACTGGTGCCCACCTGCAGCCGACTGCACACCGCCATGTGTGTATACTCTTGGAGAGGGTGGGAGGCCCAGCACGTTTGTCCACCCAGGCCCATTCCGTCACAATGAGGCCACGTGCCTCCCGGGACCCTGCCGCTACTCACTGTGCTGCCACACGTGTTCTTTCCTGCTCACAACACTGCAGGCTTTAATTTTACACACAAGGAAGTGGTGCTGGCAGAGGGCCGTGACTCAGCCGAGAGGATGTGACAAGGCAGCCGAGAGGCTGGCGGCAGAAGTGGTCCAGTGTTTTTCTGCACAGCCCTGGCTCCTGCCTGGCTGGGACTAAGTGCACACAGCTGTGCCCACCGTGGGTGGCATTCCACACGCCCCCTGTCCTCTCTGGTTGGCAAGACGACTCTGCCAGCAACCCCTGGGATCACCTTGAGACGGCCCGGGGGGCATGTCCATGGGTTTTGAACTTAATATCTAGTTTCTGCTGAAAACGTAGATTCACAAACACACCCTGTGCCAGGCCCGTCTGAGACCCTCACACTAGGGGCTTCACACGATCCTCATGGCCACTGGGGGAGGGTGGCAGGTGGACAGGGCCAAGCAGCTGCCGGGGCCACAGGTCAAGGGAGCGGCAGGCAGCGACAGCCCAGGCTGCCCAGGCCATGCCCAGCTCACGCCCATGTGGTGTGCATCTGCCCCGAGTGACAGCGACCAAGCTCACTCTGTCCAGTGTGAGCCCAGCCTTCTGAGAAGCTTCCAGAATCCCTGACCCTTGGTGGTCACTGACTCCACTAACCTGTGGCCTGTGAGCAGCTGCAGACGGAGCGGTGGCTCTGGCTCTGGCTGTCACATCACGACAGTTTTGCTAAGTTTCAGTCCTGCAGATGGTAACACCAGCGAGCAGACGGAGGCGTAACACCTGCGGGGCAGTAAAGCCAACACACAGTGACTTCCGTGACCAGCCCGGCGCTGCGAGGCAGCAGGTGGCATCCCTGTGGGCACCATTCCCTGGGAAAGCAGCAGAGAAGGGCCCGTGTGCTTGGGTTCCCGCAGCCGTGTGGGAGACCTGAAAGAGCGCCCATTTCAGACAGCCCAGCTCCGGCCGCTGGGGCCATTTCAGAAGTGAAACAGTGGATCAAGACGTCTCTCCGTCTCTCTGGAGTTCTGCCTTTCAAATCCATAAATAAAGTCTATTTCTAAAAAACATAGCAGCCCCCAGTTCCACCGCAGTTACAGGCTGCAAGTGACATGGATGTGATCTCTCATGACTGCCAAGGTCAGCACACTCTGACCCTAGTGGCACCCCTCAAATAATCACCTGCGGTGGCGGAGAGCCAGGGTCCCAAGGGACTCAGAGCTCAGACCAAGCAGGAGTGACCACACAGGGGCCTGCTTTCCTCCGACCTTAGCGCAGCAGGACCACGGAGCTACTGGAAGCTGCCACGGCCCCCACAGTGAGCAGGGCCTGCTCCCAGGAAGCCAATCAACACCGCTCTCTGCCACCTGCTCGCTCATCCCAGAGCGCCCTGGCACCCCAGCCCCCTCCTGCACCCTGAGCACGACCCAGCTCCCTCAGTGACTGCTTGCTCTGCCTGGTTTCTGCAGGAGCGCCTGGCGACGGCCTTTCCTGGCGGTGTGACTATGCATGCTGCCAGCTGTCTCCCTGCTCACACGGAGCTACTCGGGGGTCATCCTGGACGCCTCTCCTCCACTGCTGGTGTGGGGCGCCTGCGGTCCAGTGCGCTTTCCCCGCTGAGTGTGACTATGTGACATTTCTCACCCACCCTGTCACCTGCCTCCTGCAGTGTCACCCACACTGCACCACCGCCTAGGTGTGAAGATGAGGCCAGCAGTAGTTACAAATGTGTCCATGAGAAGGAGGAAGGAAACTTAACAGCATGTACTGAGACTGGTATACTCAGTCCCAGGGACTTAACCTGAATCCCCACACACATCATGCAAGGCCGGTGGGGCCTCCTGCCCTCCATCACCCACGCCACTCGCCCACTCAAAACATGAACATTTAAAACTCACACAGCCATCCAGGTTTCCATCAATGACTTGTCAAAGATGCTTCCAGTTGCCATGAGTGCTGGCTTAAGTTGATGTGGAAGGGTGAACCTGCACAGCGAGGTGTGGTTCTGCCTCTCTACTCACTGGCCTGCTTAAGGGTCCCCCTCCGGCCAGCCCGGACCCTCGGTAGCTCTGCTAGGGGTCCCCGTCCGGCCAGCCCGCACCCTCGGTAGCTCTGCTAGGGGTCCCCGTCCGGCCAGCCCGCACCCTCGGTAGCTCTGCTAGGGGTCCCCGTCCGGCCAGCCTGGACCCTCGGTAGCTCTGCTAGGGGTCCCCCTCCGGCCAGCCCGGACCCTCGGTAGCTCTGCTAAGGGTCCCCCTCCGGCCAGCCCGAACCCTCAGTAGCTCAGCTGGGGGGTTGCTCAGTGTGCCAGGTGCAGTTTTCTGTAAGTACCTGCAGGCTTCAGAATTGTCTGGTTACCGGAAGTGTGGACAGCACCCCCATGCGGGGCTGACACCAGCACAGTGCCACGGCAGAGATACTGTAGCAAGCGTCCCTGCAGAAGCCAGGTCCCACGTATGGGGGACAGCACAGCATGTGTCCCGCGCATGGAACTGCTTCAGCAGACACCGCCTGACAGCAGTGCTGGGTCAAGGTGGCCAGGGTGATACCGCAGGCATCCATGGGGCCCCAGAAGCCAGCCCACACCCTACAAGGCTGCAATCCTGCCTGGGTGACTCCTGGTTCCATCACTCCCTCCTGGGGTCCTTTACCAGAACTCATCCTGAAGTCACTGCTGGGAACCTGGCCACAGGCCAAGGGGGCAGGACCAGCACCTGTCCCCGTTGGGTGCCAGGACCCTCCTGCTTTCTAGGGAAGGGACCAGGGCTAGGTCTAGGTGCTGGGTGGGGTCAGAGAACAGCCTGCACTGTGCTGGAACAGCATTGGGACCTGTGGCTGGGCTGAGTCCCTCGTCCTTCTGTTGGCTGTTGGCCCAGACAATGGAGTCAATCCTGCTGTCTGCTGTCCTAAACTCTGCGTGGGCTCCCAGTTCCCCGGGGCACTGGATCAGGAGGAAGGCTCAGGCCTCGCTCCTGTCTGTTTTCCACACTGTCACGGCCCAGGGCTCAGGCGCGGGAAAACTCCACGCACTGGACCACGCCCCGGAGGCCAGGTGAGTAAGGTCCACGCTGCGCCTTCCTGCGGGTCACGAGGGCGAGGCCGCACGAGACGCGCCCCACCTGCCCCTCTCACACAGGACACGCGCACCTGAGGAGCTGCCGCGGGCCCGGGGTTACCGGATTCGGCGTCGGGGTCTCCGCCGCCGCCCCTACGCCAGGGTAGCAAACTGAGCCGGACAACAGCCGCCCGTCTCGGGGCCGGCCAGGTGAGGTGCCCCGGGACCTCGGGCCGCATCTCGGAGGCCCCGCGCAGGCCGAGCGAGCGGCCCCTGGCGCCCGGCCGCCCCGCGGGCCGGAGTTCCGGGGAGAGCGGGGCGGGCCCGGTGTTTACCTGGCGCGCAGGAAGCCGCGGCGGCCGGGGCGGGGAAGCGGGGTGCGCGCCCGGCCCTCGGAGCCGCCGCCAGTCGCCGCCGCGCGCGCCGAGGACGAGCCTGCGGCCCCGGGGCCCCGGCAGCCCGGGCAGCGAGCACGGCCGGTGGGTGGCCCTGGCGGGGCGCGGACGGCCCGGGCTGGGGAAGGGGGCGCCGGGCGCTGTCCCCGTGGCGCGGGAGCGCGCAGGTGGCCGAGCAGGTGGCAGCCGGGCGGCCTCCGGGCCCCGCAGCGGGGTGGGGCGCGCGCGCGGCTGTACGCGCCGGGGTGCCGGGGGCTGCAACTCGACGGGGTGATGGGGGTGGTCTCGAGCGGCCAAACCGCGCGCGGGCTGGGGGTGCAAGTGGGAGGCGGAGAGGGGTCGGCTCTTGGGCCCGCGCGGACGCGTGCGAGGGACAGCTGGAGGGCGCGCCGGGGGTCCAGGCCGCCAGCGGGGCTCCCTCGCGGCCCGGGGCCCGCGCCCGCCCCTCCCCCGGCAGAGGCGCAGTTTCCCTTTGAGCTCGGAGGGCGGCCCGGGGAGGCTGCGCCTCGGCTTCCGCCTTGGCGGGGCCGATCCCCACGCCCGCCGCAAGTGTGGGCCGAAGCGCCACGCCGAGTGGCCGCTGTGTCCCCCCGCCGGCTCCGCGACCATTGGCCGTGACTGCGGCCTCAGCCGCGGGTGGAGGCTTGGGGGGGTGTCGCGGTGGGAACCGGGCAGTGCTAACCCGGAAGGCCCCCCGGGCGGGAGCAGAGTGTGTCAGGGTTCCCACTCACTCCAGGGCATCCCCGCCGCCCCACCGTGAGTTTTGAAGGCCCAGGGAGGCAGTGCTCCCTGCATTCCTGTCTTCTTGCCTGGCCCAGCACAAAGTCCGGGAGAGACTGCTTGACTGGTGCAGGGGCCAGTTCCGAGGGTCACTCGGCAGCTGCTGGCTGCCACCACCTTGAGAGCGCAGGCGGCGCCGCTGGTTGTGCACCTGCCCCGAGTGTCACGCTGTGGTGCCTGAGCCCCTGTTCCCGTCTGAGCACGGGAGGTTAGCTGGGAGCCATTTCAGAGTCTGTGAGTTTTGCTTTGGATTCTTTCCCCAGGGCACACACTTGAGGTCAGCCCCTGCCCTTGTGATCTGTCTGCTGGGTCCCGACAGGTGGGTGGCCTCACCAGTTGGCGCTGCCAGTTCCCTGCATGGAAAACCACCTGTGGCTGCTGTTGTGACCCCAGAGCCAGGAGGACCACCACCAGGGCATCTGCCGGGTGTGGCACCTGAGAAGGGCCCCTGCTGTCCTTGTCCCTCTTGTAAACCCACCCCTGGGAGATGGCCCCACCCTGTAAGCCACTTCCTTCTCCCTCTCCTGTGGTCAGAAGGCGCCGTCCTCAGCTTCCTGAGTTGTCAAGGAGGAAGAAGAGTGTCGTGGTGACTCTGGCGCGGTGGGTGCCCCTGGAGCCCCATCGGCCCCAAGAGCCGTGGCTGGCAGGGGAGCGGACTGTGGGCTCAGAGCCGACTAGGAATGGGGCAGCAAGAGGGCCTCATCCAGAGTGTGTGCCAGTGAAGCAATGCAAGGAGACCTCCCGCAAGCCTTCCCCCAGCCCCCTGGTACCCCAGCAAGCCAAAAGTGGGCAGGACAGCCAGGGCAACGCACAGGGCTTCCGTCCAGTGCCCCAGTGGTAGCTGTACCTGCCCATTGTGGAGCTGCTAGGTCTGGACAGTCAACCAAATGAGTTACAGGAGCAGGCATCCACCTGGGGTTCCTGGGGACTCCCAGCTACAGCTCTGATCTGTTTTCTGCCAGCACATGTCCCAGGAAGCAGCTATGAGGGTCAGGGGACTTGGTCCCTGCCAGTTCCTGGAAGCCCCAAGCCCACTGAGTGCCGGGCATTTGGGGAGTGAGCCAGTGGGCAAGGTGTACCCTCCCTGGGCCCCCGCCAGCCCCCACTGTGGTGTGGGTGTGAGAGGCACTCGCTGGGCCCCTTCTGTGGTGTGTGTGTGTGTGTGTGTGTGTGTGTGTGTGTGTGTGTGTGTGTGTCCTTGCCTTGCTCATAAATCAGTGCGTAGATGCAGTTCTGAGCGTTAATTTATTCTGGACTAGCTGAGTAGGTGTGAGGCACTGTTGGAAAAGCAGGAGGCTCTCTGAAAGCTGAGAATAAACAGATTTCTGTGACGTGAGTGCTCCGTAAATGCCAAAGTGAGCAGGCCGGCCTGCAGTGCCACCCAGGCCCGGACAAGCTGTGTGGCATGGAAGGTATGGCCAGGCGAGCTGGCAGGACCCGCCTGCCATGGCCAGGATCTGGAAGCCTAGGTGATCACCCGATCCCGGTCACCCTGCAGGGCAAGCATTTGGTCTGACCTGGGCACGGGAGCTGTGTGGTCACACGTGGGCATGCCAAGCATCCGAGCCCTCCTCGGGGTGGCACAGAGCGGCTGGCTTTGTGAGCACTGCAGGTGCAGGTGGACAGCCTGCGTAACCTTCGCAGATGGCCTTCCTCCGCTCCCCAGCCAGGGTGCCTCTTCCCGGATGCTCTGAGGTGGATGCCAAGCTGGGTGAAGCTGAAGGCCTCGTGTTCAGCTGCCGAGCAGGCGTCTGTGCTGCATGGGCCTCTTCCTGGAAGACCTCCGGGCTGCACCCACCCCAGAGTTCTCACCATGGAGCCTCCGTGTACTCAGGAACAGGTCGTGGCTTGGACAGGTTTTCAATTCTGTGGGATGAATACCTGCGAACCAGCCTGTGAGTCACGTGGGAAGCACGTGTCGGCTCATGCCCAGGAGTGGCTATGCCACAGGTCTGGGTCGCCCAGAGCCCACTGCCTGCACGGTGCTTGGTTCTGTGGCCAGCTGTTCTGGTGGGTGTGTGGTGCCAGCTCAGCACGATGTAGCCTGCAGGTGCTCATGGCAGACAAGGCCACCTCCCGTGTGGCCACCTGCCACCTGTAGACCCTCGGAGCAACCTGCCCCTGCCTTTGCCCACTTCACAGGAGGCTTCCGTCTTCCACCATGGAGTGTAGGTGGCCACCTGTCTTGGCTCCAACACTTCCTGCCAGTTCAGTTGAGTCTCCGCCCTGTGGGCCTGTGGCAGAGGGGACCTTGTCATGGTCTCAGGCTCTGGTCTGAGCGCTCTTGGTCCAGCTCAGAGCCCCAGACACTTTATTCTGTGGGTTTTGTCCTTTTCCCCTGAAGCCTGCTGTAGGTGTGTGGTTGATCTTGTGTCAGGTGTGAGGTGAGCTGGAAGATTCCGGGTTGGTCCTGTCCAGGGGTCCTAGGACTTGCCACTGACTTTGGTCCTCATGTCACACCGCCCAGTCCTCCTGACCAGCCTGTGTTTGCTGTCGGGGTGCCGTACCTCCTCGTGTGAGTTGTAGAGTAACCCATTCGTCGTGCGTTTAAAACCCTTGCTGGACTTCCTTGCCCGGGTCGGTTGGTGGAGAAGGAGCGACTAGTCGGGCTGTTAACATTGCTGATTTGTTGGTTCTGTCCGTCTCCTCAGCCGAGTGGCATTGTTCTCAGCGTATACATCCTAAGCATGCAAATGTTTTCGTAGGCGACTTAAATGCTTTCTCTGCGGCCTCTGTCGGTTGCATCGTGTCTTCACTTGGAGTGTGCACGCGTGCTGGGGAGGACGCGGGGCCATGAACTTGCTGAGCTCACTCCGTACCCTGGTAGACGTCTCTGTGTGAGCCACCATGTCCTCTGCAGTTTGGGTTCCCCATCTGTCTCCACTTTCTTTTAAAGATTTGTTTTATTTTTATTTGAAAGGCAGAGTTAGAAGGAGAGACAGAGGGACAGGAGTAGAGAAAGATCTTCCATCTGCTGGCTCACTCTCCATGTGGCTGCAGTGTCCGAAGCCAGGAGCCTCTTCCAGATCTTCCAAGCACCGGGCTCACCTGCCACTGCTCTCCCAGGCCGTCAGCAGCTGGGACAGGAGGTGCCGGCACTGCAGATGGAGGCTCAGCCTGCTATGCCACCGTGCCAGCTCCTCTCGCAGTAGCTAGGACCTTTGCCTGGTGCAGCTGTGGCTTCCAGTGTGAGCAGAGAGGGGTGCAGAGGGTTGGGGCGTCAGGGCTTTGGCCTAGGCTGTCTGCCACTACCTCTGACTCCTGCTGTTTTGCATTGTCCTCGTGGTGGTCACTAACAAAAAGTCCAGTACGTGCTCCAGGCGCCCGCTGACTGGGAACACAGCTGCTGCTGCTTCGTCTCCTGCCCCTCCTGCAAGTGAATCGATTTTCAAAGAAGTCACTGACATGGTTATTCTGGTCACCTGGCCCCCTTGGCAGGGGCTCAGTACCAGAGTCCCCGCTGCCCTGACCCAGCGGCCCCAGAGGAGACACGTGGACAGCTGTGTGCACAGGAGCCTGCACTGCGCGTCCCAGAAGGAGTGGAGCCGCAGGGGGCGGAGGTGGAAACTCAGGTGTCTCCCAGGCCTGGAGGGGTCCCCGCAACACGGGCTTGGGGTCCTCGGAGCCCAGGGCAGAGCACAAGAGGCCTGGACTAGCCCGTTGGGCAGCATGTGGCCTGCACATGGGAACACCCAGAGTCCAGGCAGCCTGCTGTTAGCTCCCCAGGCTAGCAAGGGAGGCGGGCCCATGCCTAGGTCCCAGTCCTGCCTGACTCAGCATGTCCCCCGGGGCGGCCTCTGGAGGCCTCTCCTTTTCCTACCATTTACAGAGTGACAGCAGGCGGTGGGCACCCTGCCTGGCATCCCCTCACTCTTCCCGGGCCTCAGTCGTTACAGCTCTGCACTGCGTGTCACAGTCCGCTCCCAGGCGGTTAATCTTCCACCACTTCATGTGGAACCATGTTTGTTATTAACATAAGTTATAATTCAGGTCAAGCATTTTTTAAAGCACAGGAAATAATACTGACTGAGCTAACTAGTTACCCTTTCAGAAAAACAAAACAATGGATTCTCTTATTCCTCTAAAAGCTCAAACAAAATTTTAAGATTTATTTTTATTGGAAAGGCAGATTTCCAGAGAGAAAGATCTTGCATCCGCTGCTCCACTCCCCAAGGGGCACAATGGCCTGAGCTGAGCTGATCGCAAGCCAGGAGCCAGAAACCTCCTGCATGGGCTCGTGGGTGCAGGGTCCCAAGGCTTTGGGCCATCCTCACTGCTTTCCCAGGCCACAAGCGGGGAGCTGG